ACATTATGGATAAGCAATTGTTTTCTAACCCCTAACCATGTATGCAAGATGCTATTTCTCCCAGCAATCCAGAATTCCTCATGGAAATGTTAAACACTGGACATTAACACCAAAGGCAGACACAACATTTAACGTAATGAACATCTGCAGAGACCTGGGAACTGTAAATCTTCCTTAGATGAGGCATGCACAAAGAGGAACTGTCTAAGGAAAGACATGTAGTGCAAACAAGAGGCTCTGTGAGGGTATCCTGCCTGCTGCCCTTACTTATTCTGTATAACTCTTGAGCTAATAGTGCAACTCCCAAAGGGCTGTGTATGCCACAGAGACCAGAGCTCCCTTTATTCTGCAAAAAGTCAGGTGAAGTGTCTTGTTTAAAGGGGTAAATCTAAGTTTTGCTTCCCCCTTTTCTCCATCACACCCTGTGATGTGATGTGTGTGTGCTGTGTGTCCACAGATACTAGAGCTGGCATTTTCTCTCATAAGCTCAAAGCAGATGCAACTAAAGCTCTCTCCCAGTCGGCAGGTCTTTTTTGCTTTATTCCCTCCGAAAACCTGTAATACTCTTTGCGGCATGATGGGCAAAGGACTTCCTAACAGCTTTACGGGCCCAGATCAGGAAAGCAGGGAACTTCAACTACACTATTCAAACTTGCTTTTCAATGAGAAGGTAAATTCACACATAAATTCTAGCAGTTTCTCACAGTGACAATGACAAGTAAGACTGCCATGTGCCCAGGGAGACATCAAACTTCTTATTTTAAGATAAATTCAGGAAACCTGTACTCTATGAAAAACTTCCAGGTAAGTCACTAGCAAATCTTTCTGACTCACTACACCAAGTAGACATTTCATCAACTACCTTTTGTTCTTCAAACCTAGGTCCTAGCAGAGCTGTGGTCCTGCTTATCCATAGCGTCTTCAGTGACCAACCTGCCAATAGCCTCATCTTTCTCTAAATCCTGAACCGGCCTCTACCAGTTGTCTATAGTCATTATCACATCTTGGAATGATTAAAGTTCACGCATCCCTTTGCATCTTTCTTACACCACTCAGTCTCAAACATCAAGGCCTTGTCCTTCCTGCTAAATTGTCAACTTCTTAAGGAGAGGCCTTTAATGATCCACAGAATGAACATGCAGTCATGAGTAGATTCTGGCCCATGGCAAATTGCATGTGTTCCACTGCTGAACTGCTGCAGAGAATTTTCTTACCTAAGGCACATGGTTCTAATCCACTAGTTGCCCATGGGAGAAGGATGGGTAATCTCCTGTGTGATTACTGCCTCTGAAAACCCGCTGGGAGGGCCAGCTATGGATTGGTTCCTACTCAACGGTACAGACAACAAAAAACAATCTTTACAGAAGCAGCCAGCCAGGTCTTTTCCTGTAGAATGACTGGGTAGTCCTAACCACAACTTCTAGGGTCATTGTTGTTAGGCGTCATTGAGTACAACCCATAGTGACCCTAGGAAGAACAGATCTGAACCCTGTCCTATCCTGCCATGGTGGCAGTCACTGTGTCAGCCCACCTGGCTGAGGGTCTTCCTCCCTTTTGCTGACCTTCCATCTTCCCAAGCAAGATGTCCCTCTCCAAGGAATGGTCTCTCCTAGCAACATGCCCAAAGTATGTGAGACGAAGCTTTATCATCTTTGCCTCCAAGGAGCACTCTGGCTGAACCTCCTCCAAGACAGATTTATTTGTATTGTCTTTTGCCAGTCCATGGGATGTTCAGTACTCTTCTCCAACACCACAGCTCAAAGGCATCAATTCTTCTGCTATCCTGATTCACTGTACAGCTCTCAAATTTGTAGCAGGTGGTCGAAAAGACCATGACATGAATCAGGTACACTTTTGTCTTCAAACTCAAAGACATTACTCCTCAATTGAGAGGTCTCCCAATTTTCTGACTGCTGATATACTAAGGATGTTGATTGTGGATCCAAGTAAGATTAAACAGTTGCCCACTTCAATCTTTACTCCATCTATCATGTTGCCTGTTGGTTCAGTGGTAAGAATTTTTGTTTTCCTGACACTGAGATGCAATCCATATTGAAGGCTGCATTCTTTGATCTTCTGCAGCAAGTGCTTCAAGTCCTCCTCACTTTCAGCAAGCAAGGTTGTGTCATCTGCATAACGCAGGTTATTGATGAGCCTTCCTCTGAGCCTGATGCCACATTCCGCTCTGTGTGTTACATAGAGTTGTTAATTGCCGCAGAGGCCATGCTGAATCAGGGCAACCTGTGTATTCTGAGAACTACCTGGCAGGCTTTTCAAGGGTATGACATCAAAATTAGATTGTCAAGCACTTGCAGAGTTCATTAGGTGCCATGGTGTCAACCATGACTCAGAGATCCTATGAACAGGAGACCTGAACCCTGTCCTATCTTGTGCCATTCTCACCACCCCTAATATACTTAAGCCCATTGTTTCAGACACGGTGTCAATTTATCTTTTTAAGGGTCTTCCTCTCTTCCACTGACCCTCCACCCTTCCAACCATGAAATCCTTTTCCTAGGAACAGCCTCTCCTAATTAGATGTCCAAAGTATGTGAAACAGAGTTTCATCATCATTCCCTCTAAGGCACACACCCTGGCTGTACCTTGCCCAAGACATATTTGTTTGTCCTTTTGGCAGTCCATGGGATATTCAGTATTCTTTTCCAGTACCAAAGCTCAAAGACATTGATTTATCTATTGTCATCCTTAATCAGTGTTCAGCTCTCAGATGCACAGAAAGTAACTGAAAAGACTATGGCTTGAATCAGATACACCTTAGTCTTCAAACTGACATCACTGCTCTTCAGTACCTGGGAAAGATCCCAAACAGTTGTTGTTGATGCTGTTAGGTGCCATCAAGTCAAGCATGACTCTTAGCAACCCTATCCAGTGCCATCTTCAGCATCTCTACAGCCACTATGCCAATCTATCTCATTGGGCGGGGTCTTCCTCTCCTTTGCTGACCCTCCATCTTTCCAAGCATGACATCCCTTTCCAAGGAATAGCTTCACCAAATTATGAGACATGAGCTTCATCTTTGCCTCCAAGGAGCACTCCGGTTCCGAAGCATCATGCTTTGATTTTTTTTTAGCTGCTGTTGCCATGGCTGTTGTTGATTGTGGATTCAATCAACAAGGGGTAGGTCCTTAAATGACATACCTGCCCCTTTTTTAACATCCTACGAAAGGCCTAGTGGCTAGACGCTGCACTGCAATCTCAAACAGATATGGTTTGAGGCCACCAGCTGCTCTGCAGGAGGAGGAAGGATGGGTAACCTCCTCCTGTGCAATGAACTGACTTTGAAAAACATGCTGGAATGTACACAACAACAATAGGAAAGACTGGAAGATTATTTTGGTAAAGATATTTGGTAAGGATAATTATTTTGATAAGGATATTTTTATAACTCACTCACTTATTATTGTCAAGTTGGAAATAACTCATAGCTGACCCCATAGTGGGTTTTAGAAGTTGTAAATCATATATAAGGAGATTACTGGCCATCTTTCTCCCTTGGAGCAACTAGTGGATTTGAACCACTTCACTTTCGGGTGAAGTGGTTCAGATATCACTAGGCTTTCAGCTCCCTGGATTTGCATAAAGGCATAGTAATCAAGTCCTTGTCTATTCTCACTGGTAAGCAGGGCCAGGTGGCACTGATAAATGTCCACTCCCTCCTGGTAATAAAGGTAATACTTTTCTAAATAAGCGGGGCCAAAGACTTGGGAGAGGGAGCACTGGTGGCCTAGGGGGAAGAAGGTGTGCTGTAATCCCGAAGGCATGCACTTTGCACTGCTCAGTGGGAGAAGGATGGAAATCTCCTGTGTGGTTAACTGCCCCTGAGTTAGCTATGAGTTGGTTCTAACTTAAGGATACACAACAACAACAAAGACTTGGAAAGCACTAAAGACACACACAGAAAGTAGGCACATGCAGCAGTTAGCAGTCAGTAATGAAAGGTCTGAAAAGGTTCTTTTATACACACGCTAGGCTCCCAGAGTTCCATCCAAGGGCTGTAAGGTTTGATGTGACCAGAGCACCTAAACTTGACAGAGAATTTTCACAGTAGAAAAACCAGTTCTGAATGTTCCCCATGCTCTTGCCACTGGCAGGACCAACTCCCAGGTGATCTAAAGGGGTGGTGCCTCTCTTGTGCTACTCATACACACAGGTCAAAACGCCACACATTCAACACTTGGTGTGTTTGGACCACCAAGGGGGCCAATGTCAGGGACACTTCCTGCAGAATGCAGGCCGGCTCCCTGCTGTCACAAGTTCACAAAGAGGAGCTCCAGAAGAAGTGACTTTAAAATGAATACCCTGAGGCCCGCGCCCACTGCTCCGAAGCGGCAGTGTATTCGTCTGAAATAAAAAGGTCTCTGTCTGTAAATCCCGTTTGCTTGCCCGGTAATCCACCCCTGCCCCCAGCCCTGCGTGTCCAACCGGTACAGCTGTTTTTAATCCCTACTTTTCTCACACTTGGCGTCCCAAGTTTGGGCTGACCAGACGCGCAGCACTTTACATTTCCTCCTCCCCTGCTGGAGTCTGTCCTCTCTCCGCCGTATCCTCTTTCTCCGCCTGCATCCCGGGGGTGGAGTGGGGTGGGGTGTGCAGAGTGTGGGAAGAACGAATTTCCGCCGGGTTTGCTCGCCACTCGCTGAGCTTGGCCCCTTCCGGACACAGCCTGCGCGCCCCCTGCTTCTCCCCAGGCCGCTCCTCCGAGGCTGCGCGGGGTCGCGGACGGGAGCGCACAGGCGCCGGCTGCGGGGGGCGCACAGCTACGCCGCGCCCCAGGAGCTCCTGGAAGGGCTCCCGCCTGCAGCTGGGGAATCCACTCAGGGAGGAAAATCCGCGCCAGGGAATCCAGCTCTCCGGCCTCCGCAGCAAACAAAAACCGCGAGTCCTGGCTCCCTCCTCCGCCCCCTGCGCGCACTCGGAGAAACTGGTTTTTGCCGAAATGCAACAAGTAGCCCTGGGACCTCACTGAGCACTCGGACTTGGCCAGGCGAGATCTGCCAGTAGAGACCCGGTCCAGCCACCGGACAAAGGGTTGAGGAGGGGCTGGACGAAGCACTGGAGTCCGATTGAGGTCATTGAGCGACTCTGGTCAGACCAAGGGGAATGCAGAGGAGACACGGAGTCGGCGGGCCAAGAGGACGATCCGGCCGCAGCACTCAGGGCAGGCGGCGATGGGGGCTGCCCGCGCCGTGCGCTTTCTGCTCCTGCTGGGCGGCTGCCTCACGCTCCCGCCTCCCGCCGAGCCCGTGTGCCCCGAGCGCTGCGACTGCCAGCACCCCCAGCACCTCCTGTGCACCAACAGGGGACTCCGCGCCGTGCCCAAGACTAGCTCGCTGCCGAGCCCCCAGGAGGTGCTCACCTATAGCCTGGGCGGCAACTTTATAACCAACATCACGGCCTTTGACTTCCACCGCCTGGGACAGCTTCGACGGCTGGACCTGCAGTACAATCAGATCCGCTCTTTACACCCCAAGACTTTTGAGAAGCTTTCGCGGCTGGAGGAGCTCTACCTGGGGAACAACCTCCTGCAGGTGCTCGCTCCGGGCACGCTGGCCCCGCTGCACAAGCTGCGCATCCTCTATGCAAATGGGAACGAGATAGGTCGTCTAAATCGCGGTTCCTTTGAGGGCTTGGAAAGTCTAGTCAAGCTGAGGCTGGACGGGAACGCCCTGGGGGCGCTACCTGACGCTGTCTTCGCCCCTCTAGGCAACCTGCTTTACTTACACCTAGAATCCAACCGGATTCGCTTTCTGGGCAAGAACGCCTTTGCCCATCTGGGCAAACTGCGCTTCCTCAACCTCTCTGCCAATGAGCTACAGCCCTCACTGCGCCATGCAGCCACCTTCGCACCCCTGCGCTCGCTCTCCACCCTCATCCTGTCCTCCAACAGCCTACAGCACCTCGGCCCACGTGTCTTCCAGCACCTGCCCCGCCTCGGCCTGCTGTCTCTCAGGGGCAACCAGCTCTCGCATCTAGCCCCTGAGACCTTTTGGGGTCTGGAAGCCCTGCGCGAGCTGAACCTAGAGGGCAACCGGCTGAATGAGCTGCCGGCGGCACTGTTGGAGCCGCTGCACAGCTTGGAGGCTCTGGACCTGAGCAGCAACGAGCTGTCCGCCCTGCACCCCGCTACCTTCGGCCACCTGGGCCGCCTGCGCGAGCTCAGCCTGCGTGACAACGCGCTCAGCGCCCTCTCCGGGGAGATCTTCGCCGCCAGCCCGGCCCTCTACCGGCTGGATCTAGACGGCAATGGCTGGACCTGCGACTGCCGGCTGCGTGGACTGAAGCGCTGGATGGGAAACTGGCACTCGCAGGGCCGGCTCCTCACCGTCTTCGTGCAGTGTCGCCACCCTCCGGCCCTTCGGGGCAAGTACCTGGATTACCTGGACGACCAGCAGCTACAAAACGGATCTTGCAAGGATGCCTCTCCCTCCGTTTCCCCCACCGGCGACCATAGGCGGGCCCTACCCACAGCAGCAGGGGAGGAGATGGAGCCCCCAGCAGCCAGCCTCGCCCAGGAATTGCCGCTCCAGGGGCAGTTACAACCACCAGAGAAGGGGCGCATTCTGCCTGGGGTGACCTGGGATGGGACCATCAGGGAGCTCATCAGCAACCGCAGTGTACTGAGGTTGAGCCGACGGGGCCCCGGCTTCCTACAGCCAGGTCTCTCCGCCACCGCTGCTACAGGCCCGGTGCCACAGCTGCTAGACGACAGGGGGCGCCCGGTCCCTGCTCTCGCGGAGCCCACCCCGACGACGGCGTCTGGATCCGCTTCTCCTCCAGCCAGCGACCCCTGGCAGCGCGCGGCGAAGCAGAGCCTGACCGCAGAGGAGCAGGAGCACGTCGCCCAGTCCTATGGCAGGGTCGGCCTGCCCCCGCTGGTGTCCGACCCTTGCGACTTCAACAAGTTCATCCTGTGCAACCTGACGGTGGAGGCGGTGGGCGCGCACAGTGCCTCGGTGCGCTGGGCGGTGCGCGAGCACCGCAGCCCCCGGCCGCTGGGAGGCGCGCGCTTCCGCCTGCTCTTCGACCGCTTTGGCCAACAGCCCAAGTTCCACCGCTTCGTCTACCTGCCTGAGCGCAGCGACTCGGCCACGCTGCGGGAACTGCGCGGGGACACGCCGTACCTCGTGTGCGTGGAGGGTGTCCTCGGGGGCCGGGTCTGTCCTGTCGCTCCTCGGGACCACTGCGCCGGGCTGGTCACGCTGCCGGAACCAGGGAGCCAGGGCAGTGTAGACTATCAGCTGCTGACCTTGGTCTTGCTGGCCGTCAATGCGCTGCTCGTGCTCTTGGCTTTGGCAGCCTGGGCATTTCGCTGGCTGCGGAGGAAGCTGCGGGCCAGGCGGAAAGGCGGGGCCCCGGTGCACGTCCGCCACATGTACTCCACCCGACGGCCCCTGCGCTCCATGGGCACCGGTGTGTCTGCAGACTTCACAGGATTCCAGTCGCACCGGCCACGCACCACCGTGTGCGCGCTCAGCGAGGCGGACCTCATCGAGTTCCCCTGTGACCGCTTCATGGACAGCACGGGCGGTGGCACAGGTGGCAGCCTGAGACGAGAGGACCATCTTCTGCAGCGCTTTGCAGATTAGGCTTCCAGGGGTGTGGAGTTCATCTTATTGGCCTTGAGGAGCTACTTCCCTGTAGAGCCTCTCAGCCCACGCCTGGGAAAGCTCCCATTTAATCAAACCTTCATCCTTTCCCTTTTTTATGCAGTTGCCAAGGGTGTGTGGGAGGCCCAAGGGAACAGAGAGCCAGTGGGTACCCTATACCCAGTACCCCCTCAAGAATTAAATGAATGGTGCTTGGAGGTCAGGCCGAATGGATAATGGGTACAGGAGTGAGCGGTCATCTTCATACAAAGACCTTGGCAAAGCTCTGGAAATGGCTTTTGTGGCATTGCAATGCAATATAATCCTGCCCTTCTTTTGGGTAGGAAAAGGTCGCTTGGACCCCAGCATAGCCAGAAAGACATTTAGGGGCATGATTTTTCTTTTGCTCAGTGTCATACAGAGGCGTTTTGTTGCTGTTTAAGGAAAAAGCAACTTATTACCATTACAAAGACGACTTGGCAGATCACTCCACTGATTTGGTGGTCCTGCCAAGAAGGATGGAGTAAACAGGTGGTCAAGTTTAACCCACTCGCTAAGAAACTCATTGATGTTGGCTAACAGCTTTCAGGAGACCCTAAGGTTTAAGTAACAAAAGACATTCTTTTTCAACAATGTGAAGATAACCTGTCATTTAACAAGCTGACCAATAAACTCAAAAACTGTTTTACTGAGAAGATAGTTTGCTGACTTGGAGGATGACTCGGATTGCAGTCTCGGGAGCAGCCTGCCAGGAGGACCTCTGGCAGGGTTGCTCCTCTGGGATTTTTTTGTTTGTTTTAAACCTATATATGGAGATGCTAGACTTGATACAGAATGTGGTATGTTTCTAAGTGCTGACTCCCAAGGGAAACTCAAGTCCTGGTTCCCATCCTATATCTCTGACAACATGTCTAGATCTGACCAGATGCAGTGTGGTTCCATCACGTTTTTATCAGTGACATGCTGTGGATGGTACCTTCTGCCTCTCAAGTTGAGACACAGTTAACTGATAAACATAGTTTCCTTATTACCAGAGGAGAGCAAAAGGCAAATTGTTAATTGAAAGTTTAATGTTTGACCATGTTAACATCTTGTTCTTTATGAAATTGTTGACAGAAAGAAATTAAGGGGGAAATGTGAAAAAAAGTACATCAACGGGTATCTGTTCCTACTAAGGCCAGAATATTCTCTGAGTACTTAGACCTCACTGTGAACTAATTATATATTTTGCAAATTAATCCCTCCACCACCCAGTGTTGTTTTATTATTGAATCTTAGGTTTTAGTTGATAGGTAATGATGGCAGTATTTTCTTAAATGTCTTTTGTTTTAACATTAGGTTAGGCTCCTGTTATTTGCCTAGTTGTTTCTAATTCTGTGGGATAATGTCTTTCCCTAATATGTTCAAAATACGAATTTGACACTAAACGTAGTAGTTTGGTTTACAGTAGTAATTTTGCACAAAGTCTCAAAATGCAGTCGTTCAGAGGGTGCGCACCATGTATTTATTTCCCCAAGTGCATGTTTTAGTGAAATTGGAGTGCAGCAGAGGCTATATCCCCAGTGCTAAGGCCAACAGTAAACCTTTTGTTTAGTGTCTGAAAGCCCCTGAGGTCCTGATGACTCAGGGGATCCGTCACAGTCCAGGGGTTCTTCAGCCCAGGTTCACTCCATATACAGCCTGGATTGACTGTGCCTGTGGTCATCCAAACAGCTGGAGAGGGACTCAGCAATCTAAATTAGCTGGTCTTTGTTTATGTTCAAATGAGTAAATGTCCAGACCACTTATGCTGCAGCTGCTTTTCTGGCAGTCTTATCTATGGGCCCAAAATTTAATAAACGACAGGAAATAGACTGTCACTCTTCATTTGTTGCCAAGGCTTGTTTTAGATTCAGACCATAACGTACATGGGAAAGGTGAAGCTGTTCACTTCTTTCCAACCTTAAGGCTCTGGAGTCTGGTACCATTCTTGGCCTTTTTTTAAAAAAAAACAACTCCTTTTAGAGTTACTACATCTGTTAGCTTTGTCTTTCGTATGGCAGTGCAATTCTGAGTCCTAGTTAAAAATACAATAAAATCTCTAGCTCCTACCCCATTCACTGCCAGTCCTTTCAAATTCAGAACTTCACTGAAAGTGCTTGATGCCACCATCCTTGTTCTATTTAGCAGTTTCACTGGAAGGACTTTCAGTCGGAAACGAATAAATGTTATACATTATTATGTTCAGTTACATCAATAAAGCCACTTACTAATAGAGTTGTTTTATTGTTGGAGTTTCAAAATATTTTATGCACTTCCACAATGATACCCTGCATTTTTTTTTTGCAACTTACTGCCAGTGAAAATGAAACATAAGCTTGAAGTATTTTCCTCTTCTGTCAGTGTTTTATGTTACATTTCCATTCTTGTGTGCAGTCGAGTTAGAACCAACCCATAGCTGACCTTCCAGTGTGTTTTTAGAGGCAGGAATCACATGGGAGGAGATTTCCCATCTTTCCACAGGTCAGCTGGTGGATTTGAACCAGATGGCTTCAAGATTGAAGCACAGATTCTTACCATTAGGCCACCAGGACTCCTTAAGCTATCACTCTGCTAATGCAAAGGTACACAGTTCGAATCTACTAGCTGCTGCTGTTCAGGAGAAAGATGAGCCATCTCTTCCCTTGGGATTTACTTACCTCTGAAATGCTGGAGAGTCATCTATGGATCAGTTTTAACTCGAAGGTACACAACAACAGCGACAACAGCTGTAGATTGTGAACTCAATGTGGCTGTGGCTTTAAAAGATATGGTTGTAAGACCTTCTGCCCAAAGAAATGAGATGACAGCAGATGTCTAGCCACGTTGTGGAAGAAATGCTAGTCCCAGCAGGCATTGCCTGTTTGAAGGAAATGAGATGAAAGGTTAACCCCTTTGACTCTCATGATCAGTAAAGAGGAAAACAGAATCTTTTTTTTAATCTTTTTTACCAGTTTATGAAAAGATGAGATTCTTTAAACAAAAAGCAAATTTGTATGAGCTTGATGTGCTCTTAGTTGAACACATGACCCATTGACGAGTCTGGATTTAGTGTAGTATAATGTTCAGATGGGACAAGACAGAGAGTGTTGGGATGCTGCCAGGGAGTAATTAGGCTGTGACTACCCTCCCCGGTGATTACCCTATCTCCACTAATTCTCCAAGCTTCTGGCTTTCATCACAAGTACAACAACCTGGGAAGCTACTGTACATTATTATGAGAACATTGAAATAGATGCTGGGTTATCTGCACTCCTATTCAACCCCTCACCCCTCCCCCACTGTGAAGACTTGGCGAGAAATTGCTACAAAGCATTTTAGTGCCAGAAATGCACCCAGAGTCCTGGACCATCACCCCTGTTCTGACGCCTGCCTTCACCATCCTCAGGCAATTAGAATATTGTCGAAGTTCAGAATAATGGTATGTAATGGGAGAATCTTGCTCATAAGATGACAATCTGTGTAGGTCTGTGTTGCAGCCTCTTCAGCCATTATAATAGGGGCCTCAGTGGTCCTGACAGGTGCTCTGGTGGCATAGTACACTACATGTTGTGCTTCAAACCCAAAGGTTTAAGGTTGGAGCCCAGCAGTTACTCCTGGAACAAAGATGGGCAGTTACTGCTTGATATAGATTTAAGCCTCAGAAACTTGGTGCAGGGTCGCTGTGAGTTACGGACAGTGGTCGTGCTGGCGCCATAGTGTTGCCATGAGAAAGGACAGATAACAAAAAGAGCGTCTGAGAGCACCAGTCACACAGTTGCAGTTGTAATCAGGTGCCACTTGAGCCAGCTCTTACTTCTGCCCACAGCAGAATAAAGCCCTGCCCACTCCTGCTCCATCCTCACCAATTCTGGGTTTTAAGCCCATTAGTGAGGTCACCGGGTCAATCCATCTTGTTACTCCTTCCGCCTCCAGGGTCTTCCTCTTTACCAACCCCCTTCTTTTCCAAGCAGAATGCCCCTCTCCTAAGGGATTTACTGCTTTCGTAAGCGAATATTTATTAACATTTGTCATATAAACAAAGAGTTAACTTCAAGTGTTAATAAACTAGCTTTTGTATTAGTTGTCCACTCCAGTACACAGGATGTAGGAGTCACTGGTTGATGGTAACACATATGATGGAGTGCTCCACTACCAGCCAAGAGACTGGCACTTCAAACTTACCCATGGGAGCCTCAAGGGACAATCCTGGTAACATGTTCCAAAAGATCGGTCTGCCACTCTCTCTTCTCTCTCTTATTACCGTCGAGTTAGAATCGACTCATAGTTGACCTTCCAATGGGTTTTCAGAGGCTGTAAATCACACTGGAGGATACTGACCACCTTTTTCCCCATGGCCCGAGTCAGGCGCACCTTAATCTCTAGACTGATATTGTTGCTCTGCAACACTCTGGAGAGGTCTTTGACAGCAAATTTTCCCAATGTAACTCGTCTTTTGACTTCCTGAGTGCTGGCACCAAGGGTGTTGATAACTCTCTGAGGGTAGGAGTATTATCACCATTTGAGAGAAAGGTAAATTTAGGCATTGAGGAGGTCTGTAGTTTGGCCAACCCTATTGCCCTGTGGGTGCATTGAGATTGATGTTTTTATTATGTATTAATGAATTGCGACTGATGATCTTCCAGGCAGTAAATTGCATGGGAGGAAATTGTCCATCTTTCTCTTCCGGAGTAGCTGGTGTATTTGAATCACGTTCCTTTGGTCATGAAACCAACAGTGCCCCCTGTTGGGACTGTAGGAGAGCTTAAAAGTAGAGGTACTTGGTTATTGATCTTAGATGTCTCAAGTATGACTCATAATGACCCTATGAACAACAGACCTGAAACTTATCCTGTCCTATTCCATCCTCATAATCTCTGAGATACTTGAGCTCATTGCTGAAGTCACTGTGACAATCCATTTGGTTGAGAATTTTCTTCTCTTTCTCTGACCTTTCTTTGGCCCATCCTGACAACATGTCCAAAGTATATTATACTAAGTTT